CGACTATGAGTACGACTACATGATTCCTCGACCGGACGGTAGTATCATCGTCGGGGGCGGAAGACGCGACTACTACAAAGACCTGGACGAATGGTTTGATGTATCCGATGACAGCAGACTGATGGATGGCGCGCGGCATTACTTTGACGGTTACATGCAACGGCATTTCCGCGGGTGGGAGAACAGCGGTGCACACACCGAAGAGCTCTGGACCGGTAGTAAGTGTCATGTCTGCACCAGCGCCCACGATGTTCCAGAACTGACTCATCTTCTTCCGTGTTAGTTATGGGCTATTCCAACGACGGGTTCCCGTATGTTGGGCCAGTTTGCGGAAAACCCGGCCAGTATATGTGCGCAGGGTTCAGCGGGCACGGTATGCCGCAGATCTTCTTCTGTGCAAAAGCCATTGCTTCCATGGTCATCACGGGTGACGCAGAGAATGTGGATCTTCCCGTGCCGTACCGCATCACCAGGAGTAGATGGTACCAGCAGAAAGAACATGTGTCTCTCAAGATGTGGCAACAGATAGCGGAAAGCCAGCCTGCTCAAGCACGGTTGTGACCATGAGATAAGACGAGTTGGGACCTGAATTGTCCACTCTTGCAATGCGATGAATCATCCACTGACTTTTACGCGCACTCTGTTGGCGAAAAGAGTTGAATTGATGCGCTTCATCGCTCATACATTGGCGATTCTAGCCTGTGCAGAACGTCACTTCGGTAACCATGAAAGGCTCTCAAAGAACTCCCTCTCTGCGTTACCATGGTCACCAAAGTCTGAGGTGAAGAACGCCTCGCTTCCATCCGAGTTAAGTAGATCGAAATCGAACGGATAGCCATCAAGGGGTACATAGCTTGGCATGGTATCCACTGTTGCATCGGTTCTGTTAGGTGTTATCCTTGGGCCCTGCGCCGTTGCTGCCTGTACATTTGCATGTCCGGATGCTGGAGGCCCAAAACGAGGGACTGTGGACTTTTCTGCTTTCTTGTACCAGTTAAGAAGACCGTTGTAGCCCTCTTCAGCTGCATCATTTGCTTCCGTGACCGCAGGTTGACTGGGTAATGGATTGAAAACGTGAAGTCGATGCAGCGCCGCTTCCAGTGTCTCTAGGAGCGACACTTCTGAACGCGCGGAATCGCCCGCCGAAGCCATCTCTCTGATCGCCTGAAGACCTACTTGTAGGGTGTTTGCGAACTCGTTCGTCCGGTAACATATGCTATAGGCGATCAAGACCAGCAGGGACGCGCGGCAGGAACTGTATTCGGCATATGACGACTTTGCAAGGCCCATATCGCCCGTCTGCATGATTTGACATGTGCTGATAACTTCCTTCGCGGCCGCAACGCAGTCCTGGACCAAGAAGTCCCACTGTGAGTGGGACTCGGATGCTTTCCTCTGGCGTACTTCTGGGGAAGCGGCATTGGCGTCCGTGGAATGTGCATTGGTCCGCGCGTGACGGTGCGCGAGGATGAAGGGTCGTCCGATAAACATGTGCAAGAGGCAGCACTCTAGTCGAGAATGGATCAATGCGCGAGCTTTTGGTAATTCTGCTTCGTGGTTTGCGGGTGGCGATAATACACCCCCGCGAGGAGGCGACCAGGGCCCTCGCAGATCCGCCTTCATGCGCTTGATACGGTCCAAAATCACCCCGACTTCAGCGTTCGCACATGTTCGGAGACGCGATCTAGCAAGACATAGTCAGTTTGTTGTCTTCTGTTTCCGTGTATAGAGGAAGTCTTGGTCTAGACTTACATTTCGTGGTGGAATGCTTCAGCCTGCCTAGTGAGCTCGATTGATTCCAGGAGACCTTGAGGATCGAAACGGTCATCATCCATAAGGTGTGCTTCAGATCTCTGAGGCAGATCTGCATCGATATCGGATCGCACTATGGATATTGGGCGGCCGTGGTATATACCAATTTTTCTAGTAGGTCAGATTTGTGAGCAAGAGGACGAGGTGTTATCGGAGAGTCAAGAACCAACAAACCTTTCCATGCAGTACACTGTCCACCAAATGCGGCGCCTGATTTCTTTAGTTCTCGTGTCGAGGACGTTGCGCGAGACCTTTCGGTGCAACCCGTTCTGTATGGCTACCTTGATAGCCAAGTTTAAATAGATGTAACTCAGCCCAGATGCATCAATGGGTAGGGTATATAGGCCGAGAAGCAAAAGTGCCTGGACGCTGAGCAGCGAGCCAGCGTGGATAACTTCCGAAAGAAGCTTTGCTACTTGACGGTAAAAGCCGGATCCAATCTCGAGCTCCCAACTACTCTGAACTTCGGAGTCCGTTGCAACACCCGCGTTGTGAGCCTTGTGGCGATCGGGCGATTCTAAATGGACGTATTGGGTTCCAACTGCCAGCACCATCAGTACTACACATATTGCAGTAACATCTTTGGAGCGTAGTGAGATGGGGTTGGTGTATATGATGTCTAGGATGTCGTCAAACCAGCGTCGGTCTACATAGTAGTAGACGCTGGTGGCATGATTGAAGAAGACATTAGTCAAGAAAGTGGCGACCGGACGGGGTGGCACAGCAGCAAGGACGTCCGAGATGGAAGTCGATGCTGGATCTGCCTCGCCGACGCGAATGAAGTCTGGTACCCGCGTCACGTTTTCTAAATTCTGACAGATATGGTGAGCAAACAGGAATAGACCAGGCTAGCTAACAGTACGTACCTGCACATTGGCTTTGGCCATAAGCTCGTCTATATTGCGTTTGATGTGCATGGAAAAGTTCCAATGAGAGAACTCTCCTGAGTAATCTGCACAGCGACGAACACTCTTGTTAGTGTGCCTGTGGAATTACGAGGGGGTTTACGAAGCACATACGGACCGTAGTGCCGTCTACGCGGTCAATGGTACAATCCTCGTCTCCAATATCAGGGCTGTCAGACACTTGGGCATTCGCCGACAGCTCGATAGACTCGGGTACGATCGCGTTCTGGTCGCGTGGTGGGGTGGGCGAAGACAGGGAATCGCACGTGCGTTGTAGAGAGACGATGTCCAGGGCGAGATTGGGAAAATGGTGTTTGATTATGAATTCCATGCATCGCATGCGGTCCATCAGCTCATTGGGCGAGGCGGGAAGGCCCGGTCCTCGCTTGTCCACTGCAGCAGGTGCAACATTGTATCTACACGGTCGGCGCAGATGGCGGCAGCGTCTACACGGCGTTCCATCCTCACATTTCTCTTTGAGACGGCGACACTCATCACACCTATGCGATGCTTGTCAGCCAAGACTCTACCTCGCGTTCTTCGGCGAGACAGTGGTGGGTCTTACGCGCGAACTGCTCGTTGTCGCTCTTCTGCCGCTAGATGACGCTTCTTGGTGGGCCTTGGGGGCTCGACGTCCATAGCTCGAACTGGACAAACAAGACTAAGTATGAGCTGAAGAGATTGAGTTGGCGGGAGGGTTTTGAGCATACGTCGTGAGTTCACAGCTGTCAACGACGCCCACCCACGGAAGCGCGAGCGATAAGACAGCTGAATGACGCGCCATGCAGCGACGTTGAAGCCGTCCAACCTCCTGCAGGAACGCTCCGCACGAAGCTTGTCCGTTATCGGTTAGTAGTAAGCCCGGCTTATCACAGACGGCGATACCCGCATCCTCACAAAAGATAATGGCGAACCTCGGGCAAAATGCTGGAAGCGGGGAAAGAGCTGGTGGAAATGAACATTCTTTACTAATGTCGGTACGGGCTCGAATAGACGCAGTAGTAGTACTAATGTCATTGAGACTTCTCTACAATCTGCTTCGCCATCTCCATGAGACCTCCAGCCACCACCTCCAATTTCACATCACTAAAAACGTCGAGACAAGCTTCCTTCTCGTACACCGAGCTCCATGCTCCACGAAAACCAACTTTTGTGGCCGCTGCGACATCCCACATGTGCGCCGCAGCGAACCATTTCACATCGTCTCCTCCAAATCGAGTCCATACAGACTCATAGGCGCGGAGAGCGGGTTTAGCCACGCCTAAGTTGTCGCAACTGACGAAATTCTCCAGCGGCATGTCTACACCGGCGCGCTCGAAGTAGCCTCTGACTCGTTGGACATCCCCGGTGGTGAAACACCAGACGGTAAAGCCGTTGTCGCGCAGCAACTGGAACGTCTCCCGACAGCCAGGTCGCAGCTGTAAAGCGGAATAGCCTTCGATGCACTGTTCCCGCTCCTCTTCAGTGGCTACAGCCCGAGGATCGGAGACGCCACAAAGGCAAAGGGTACGGTAGAATAGTCCTCGGAGAATATCCTTGTAAGGCTTGTAGCTTTCGGAGATGGACAAGAATGTGAATTCCAGCTCAGCAGCTGTCTGCCAGGTGTACCCGAAGTGTTGCGCGGTTATGTGGTGCTCGCGAAGTTTTGCACCCAAGACTGAGTCTATGCGTTCGTAGTAGGCGTCGAACGATACGCAGGTGCCGACGACGTCGAACACGACGTGCTTGAGAGGCTGTGTCATTTTGACTGTCGGTGTGGTGTGTGATGACCAAAATCGAGGAGCTCGACAGCGACCTCGGGATTGATGCTAGATATGTCGGCTTGGCATAACGAGTAAAAGACACGTGGAGAACAGGCCCCTACATGGTGCCCATTATTCTCATGTCTTGCTACACTGAGTACCGGTATCAGTGGCTAGTAGAAGGCCGGCCCGGTCGAGGTGACTGCCGCAGCGCTCGGACCAGGTAGTTATCGATCGCGACCGGATCGCGACCGGTTCGCTTACCCGGTTCTCCAGGGCTGCCACTGACACACAGGTACCTAGGTACGATAACGATGAGCAACGTTTCATCAGATTCCGGACCGGTGTCATTGTCTCTAGAGCTCGAACTTTCTAGATCGAAGTTGTAAGCTCGATGACCGGGCTAATTACGGTACCCGGTCGATTTGCGAAATAGCGGTGATGGAGCACAGGTATGAAAGCGTGTACTATGTGGCTTGCCTTGCGAAACATGCTCTCTGCCCGGCTGTAGAAAGTAGTCTGTCATTCTCAATTCCTCAACATGGTTTTACCAACTGCCAACCCCACCAAATCCTATTGGATCGAGGCTGCGAAGTCGCCGTTGCGCAACTTCCGCTCCAGCGAGGCGTTGCCAGAGGAGACCGATGTGGCAATAATCGGCGGTGGCTACGCCGGCGCATCGACAGCTTACTGGATCAACAAAGTTTGTGACCACAACACAATGAATTGTCCGCTCATTAAGTCTAACGTATAATTAGTACACGGAGAATGCTTCCAGGCAGCCTCATGTGACTCTCCTAGAAGCTCGTGACATTTGCGGAGGTGCCACCGGACGCAATGGTGATGGCATTTGCATCTTGCCCCTTGGACAAATACCTAACAACAAACAGGAGGACAATTGAGGCCGCATGCTTATTCTCGCTATGCGAAATGGTCGAAACGGTTTGGCTCCCAGGGTGCCATGGAGCTTATCGAACATGAGATGGCTCATTTGCCGGCATTTAAGAATCTGACTGAGGAAGAAAACATCGCGGAAGAGGTCTGTCTCAAGTTCGGAGAAACGTTCGATGCTGCCATGACCGATGAGGCCTGGACGAGGCTCAAGGGCGCACTTGACGCCATGCGGAGGGATCATGGTGACGATAACGAGATTGTCAAAGTATGCAGAGTGATCGAAGACGCACGGGAGGCGGAGGAGTTTACGCAGATGAAGGGTGCTCTGGCTGCAGTGGTGCATCCTGCAGGGCAAATGTCGGTTCTTCTCGATCGTACTACTCCCACGCAAGCCTACTGACATCGTCCCAGATGGCCATACAAATTGGTGCACGCGCTTTTGCGCATCGTTCTGCAGAAAGGCAATCTCAATCTGCAAGCTCATACTCCAGTCACGGATGTTTCAGCGCGAGACGCCGAGGGTTGGATCACAGTCAAGACTGAGCGCGGAACCATCCGTGCCAAAACCGTCGTCCACACGACAAACAGATGGGCTTCTCATCTTCTCCCTGAGTTCACTAAGCTTATACTGCCCGACAGAGGGGCTATTGCCGCGATTAAAGCGCCCCCGGGATTCATAAAGCACACTGGTGCCCAGCATTGGGACTCAATGGTCAACGTAAGGCTTACAGATGCTCTCTTCACAATCGATGGCCCGCTGACGACGACAGAATTATCATCTCCAGCTACCTCCACCCTACAACACCATCATCATTGGAGGAGCAAGGCAACTTCTTGTCCACAAGCCAGGAGATTGCTTTCCCAACGATAAAGAAGATCAGCAGATTGCCGGAGCCGCTGCATTCTACGAATCTTGGGGTGCCTCAGACGTCGCAGGCTCGCCGGATGAAGTTCCCGCGGGACTCAGCAAGGAAGTCAACGAAGGCGGATGCTGGACTGGAAGTAAGATGTGTCATACCAGTGAACTTGAAGTACATTCGGCTGACTGAATAGTGCAAACCGAATCTGCAGACGCGTTTCCGTTTGTTGGTACGGTGCCACAGCGGCCGGGTCACTTTATTGCCGCCGGATTCGCGGGACACGGTATGCCTCGTGTGTTGGGTTCAGCTGCTCACATCACGCCTCTTGTTCTGGAGTCGCTTGGTTTCGAATACAGCCAGCCCCTCATTGCCGCTTCATTCCCTCCACTGCCTCAACCGTTCCGCACCACCGCTGAACGGATTGAGAGACTCCAGGATACGAGCCTCAGTGCGCTCGCTGAGGAGTACAGGCAGAGATGTGGGGAGAGTGCGCAGAAGCCATTTTGCAATACTGCGAGGGTCATGACTGTTCTTGGGATTCCTCCTTCATGGGATGATGGCCAGCAGGTCATGGCTCAGCTATGATGTGAATGTATGTAGTTTAGAGTGAAGATTCGCGTGTCGTACAACCTACTATATGTGCCAGTATATACTATCCTCTACACTTGCTTATCGTACACAGTGACTTGCCGGTGTTCTAGTGCAGGGTTGCCTTAATCCATGCGGGATAGGCATGATCGTGCACTGCTTGATTTCAACCAAGGCTATATTGTTCCAATTTTGTCAAACTTGCACATACGACCATAGGATCTTGTCACCAGCGCTTCCCGTTCGCTCAGCGGTACTTAAGCAAGATACCGGCCTATTAGTAGCTTCGTGGGTGACCAGAAGCGAATCCAGGCTGTTGTATGTTTTTGACCTTCTTTTTGCCCATCTTTTTTTGCCGGCTTACATGGACTGCGCTGACGAGTTCCTGCATCTCTGTTATTGACACTCTCGCGCTACTACTGTAATAGACGTGGTGAATGCTAATAGTTTTGATAAGACATTGCTATGACAGTGCTGTGTCACAGGTCTTCACCCTTCACCAAGCGCACGCGATAGCCGTTAAGGGGTCGCTTCTTTGCTCCTGGAATGGTCTCTTTTCTCCTCTTTTGTGCCCAGCAATAACCCAACTCTTATATACCCAGATAGTACTTTCCCCGCTCGTATGCATAGAAGCTGACGGCAGCCATTGGAACAACCTTGACATATCCAATCGTCAAACCCACGAAGAAACCTTTGTACCCCCTCTCCATGTATATCCTCCTCGTGACCTCAGGTATACTAAGCCGATGTCCATCGCCAACCACACCACCAACTTGCATGCGCCGCCGTATGACTTCGAGAGGATACGACACAGTTTGTGAAAAGAAGCCCGCGATTCCGCCACTTGTCAGCTCCGCCCAGTACCGCAGCTGCGCGGGTTTGTGACTCGTTGTGCTCGACTCTTCGCGTGAAGTGTTCGGTAACGTGGTATACGGAGCGAGTACGGGTATGCGCAAGAGATCGGACATGGAGTCGTGAGCGAGGAAGGAAGCGCCTGCGTAGGGTATCATGCCGAGTAGTGTAGGTGTGAAGCCGCGGAAGAAGTTGGAGAGGCCAGAGCGCGGGGTGACCTTTTCGACAACGTGTGTCGCGGTTGCGGTGATGGGGTTCTTCGGTTGTGATACACGTGGTGCTTGCTCGGCGTAGATCTTGCGCACGATGGTTGCGAGACTGCTACGGCCTTGCTCGCTGGTTTCGAAGGCAAGGCGCACCCGAATGACTTCTAGTGGATATGTGAGGAAGACGCTCATCATGCCTGCTAGACTCCCCGAGAGGAATCGTCGCGTAGGTGTTTCCTGCGCCTGGTTCTTTATTATGCGGCCGCGTATTTGCTCGTAGGCGAGGAATTTGATGCCCGCGTAGGGGAAGATGCGGAGGAGGGTTGCCGAGTGGCCTTTGAAGAGCCCGCGTACGCCGGTGCTGACGTAAATGTCGCGTATGGCAGTCGGGAAGCCGCTCCAGGAGCCGGCGTACTTTGCGAATTGGGGGTTGCGGGTTTGGAAGAGGATCTTGACGCGGTCGAGGGGGCCTACTACTGTCTTTGCCTATAAGTTGTCAGTATCTGGACTCCAGTAGTCTTCTCACACGTAGAGAAAATTCTTGACATACAGCACATCCAGCGAATCCTCCCGCCAGTCCACTCTTGATCAGGTATTCCATGCTATTCCTGTCCATCTTCTGCCTCTTCGGCTCCATATGTGCGCCTCCCTCCTTCTTTGCCGACATGGCGGCGTCATGGTCGGGTATTGTAGTGCCTGCGCTGGTTGTTTGCGCCGCAGTCGTGGTCATGATATTCGATTTGCTTCCGTCATAGCGGAGGAGATCCGTGGACATTCCAGAACAGACGTGCGTGGGGTTACCGCGACATGAATATCGTGTGTTTGTGTGTTTGCGCTTCCTTCCGTGTCGTCGTTTCGCGTGGCTATGACAGGACGCGTGTGCTGGAGGCGGGGCGTGGTCGCGTGTGTGTGGATTAGAAAGCAACGCCGTTGTGTGGTTTGGTGTTTGAGATGCCGCGATGACGTTTACCGAGGCTGATCTGCTGCTTTCGGCCGGTACTTCGCCCACACCATTCATCCGACGCTACCCTTCGGAAATGGTTTCCATGCAACACCACGACAACATCACGAGATCTCACATCAGATATTCTACGCGAAATGTGTTTATGATAGCACGCGATGAGTATTTGGCGCGTTGTCGTTGAGATTGCAAACGGGGAGCAGCGATGACGTAAGACTATAGAATTGGTAGGAACTTTCCATTACTCTTCTCTCTCTTCGATCATCTCTCATCATGGCTTCGTCAAATCCAATTATCTACCAGAATGCGGAGGTGGACGTCATATTGATCGACATACCGACGTCTATCGCAGCAGCACAAGGCGACCGCGAGGGAGTGCTACTCTCTACTACGCCTTTGGAAGCGCCCATCGAACCGAAGGAGGACTACCGACCCAAAGCGAAGAAACCTAGAGCGAACGAGAATCAAGCACAAAGCGCGGTGAACACGCAGCATGTCGGACACCGTAGTTCGCCCCATGCGACAGTGGCAGAAGCCTCCCAACACGACTTCCAGTCTCTGCATCTTGACGACCTGCGGTACAAAGTTCTGGCTGAACATGCACTCCGCCAAATTCGCGCACAGGTTACAGGGTCGTGGTGCACACAGCGCAAATTGATGCCCCAGGAACCATTCCGCGGGAAAGATGAAGCCATGGATGTTGATCAAAATTCCGAAAAAGACCTCGAATCTCGGATGAAGGAGTGGGCTTCATGGAGCGAGAGCAAGGAAGACGATACCGCATTCAATCTGCAACAGATGATGGCTTCTCTCGGCGCGACTTCCGAGGTCGCAGAACCGGCCACTGTGGCACCAAAGTGGATGATGTCGTACTGCCCTGCACGTGAGACTGCAAGTAGTACACAGGTCGCTGAAACGGTCTCGCCAGACGCACAAACCGAACCATGGACAGGCGCCTTCCACAACCCCAACCACCACTCCCTGTCGCTATCCATCGCCGAGAACACGTCGCAACCTCCTCAGCTGGGTCATGAGTATCGTTTCACAATACCACCTCGATCCACATTCTTCCTTAGCGATTCCACAGCGTCGGATGCCTTCCGTACCTCATTCCGTGAGCTTACAGACGAGTTTACCCTTCCACGACACTTCGACCTCGTACTGCTGGACCCACCATGGCCCAATCGTTCAGCCAAGCGGAAGGGCGCGTATGAACAAGTTGGCGGCATGCCGTACCTCAAGAAGATGCTGTTGAGCATGGATATCGACAGTTATCTGGAACACAATGCGCTGGTCGGCGTCTGGATCACGAACAAGGCAGCGCTGAGAGAGCATGTGCTCGGGCCCGGCGGTCTATTTGAAACTTGGAACGTGGGCTTGATCGAAGAGTGGATATGGATCAAGACAACAACCAAAGGCGAGCCGATGTTCGACATTGATAGCGCAATGCGCAAGCCCTATGAGATTCTACTGCTAGGTCGCGCAGCCCCGAACTCATGGACGACAATGACACACGCGCCAACAGTCAAGAGAAGAGTCATCGCTGCTGTGCCAGATATCCACTCACGCAAACCGTGTCTGAAGCAGTTACTCGAACCCTTTCTGCCGGATCCGACTGATTACAGCGCGCTTGAGGTCTTCTCTCGGTACCTTGTCAGTGGATGGACGTCTTGGGGTAACGAGGTACTGAAGTATAACTGGGATGGTTACTGGGCCCCGGCCTGAAGCACCGTGGCCTCTACGAACTATGGTTCCATACTGCTTGCACATGGCATCTGTGGTGGCAAGCAGTCATTGAGGGGTATGCGTGGGAATCTTTAGCTAGCTGGCCCGGACGACTATGATCCGTGTGAGTGTACGTTGTGCTAGAGCTCTGACCTTGTGGTTTCTGAAGAGAGCACGTCATGCATGTACTCAGTCAAAAGACGGGATAGTAATTGTAGTATAGTGTGATTAGAACGTAAACACACATCATCCGGGGAGCTACCCATCCGCGGATGTAGATCTGCATCACAGCGAGATCCGATTATCCGCCGTTGATATCTACAGCCAGTTGAACACACGTCTCAACACACACTCAAACACAGCCATATCCACAGATCAACTGGCATACTCGAAGCAGTAACTGCCGAGACCCTTTCCTTCCTTTTGCATCCCCACCATGACGCCATATCCCCACCAGCTTCTTCATACAGAAAATCCCATCTCAAGAAACCGGCTAAGAAGAGATCAGGGTCTTGACAAAACCCACTATATCTCCACCCCATACTGGAGAAATAGATGGATCAGGAGGCAAAAGTGTGTGGACCGTGGAGTCGCATACCCACAGCTCCACTCCACCACCACAACCCCAAATGCAACCCCACGTCCCCGAGATAATGACCTCGACTTCCTCGGAACGCGGAGTATTCTCGCTCTCCTCACCTGAAACAAAGACTATCCGTTCAGATGCCGAAGACACAGCAATAATCGCGGCACGCACAAACAGTCTCGAACGTGAGCCGAATTCACATGTCAAGCTCGGTGTGGCGTGGGGAAACCGCAAGCGCCCTCCCTTCGCCCTCGTGATGTGATGGTCCCGCGTGGGGTCCATTGGGGCAAAAACTAAAACAAGTGACATATGCACGACATCCAGACTAACTGGCATCACGCCTTATCGAGTAGACGAATGAGCGGAGGGGTGCTGCCGCGCTGTGAACTCTGTGCCGTGTGGAAGGAGAGTTAGGTAGTGCTGGGTGAAGCGCCTTTGTCGCTGCCTTTCACACTTGCACGGCGGGAGAGGGCGAAGAGGCAGAAATGGACCGCTCGGCGGATTTCATGTCTACTTTGTCGAGCAGGCTACAAACTTGCTTTACGCTGGAGGGCGTCGCCGATGAAGGACGTAGAAGAGCAAAGGTCCAGGGCGCTTGTAGGGCTCACCCATCTCATAGCCCTGCTTTCCCGCAAGTATGCTGTCCATCTGACAGGTGCATACCGAC